TCTCTGCTAGGTAGTGGAGTCTTCTAGCACAGCAGCTCTGTTTTAGGCACCTCCGTATTCTACTATGCTTGACTCAAAATAGATGTGCAGAAAATGTTTTCAGGAAAAATAAATACGTAAATAAATAGTTACTTGACTTTGATACACTTTTATTTTTTAGATACCTGCAGCTTGCAGCTTTATTAAGGTGGCTCCCAACAAGGCAGTCATGGTACGGGGCAGGCCATCAGCCCTCGCCCTGACCGTACTTGCGGTTCTGATCCGAATGAAGCCCACACATCGGCGGGGCCGTGAAGATGGGGATATTGCAATGGAGGGAGGGGGAGAGAAGTCCAAAACCAAGCACTCTGGCTAGCTCATGTTTTGAAGAGATCACCCTGTCTGTGGACAAGGAGTTGGCTTGTTCCTTGTGTCTCCTAAGGAAGGACTCAGAGCCAGTGGGTGTTGCTGGGAGGTTGACTGGGACACACACACAAAACACCCACACAAGTGAACGTGTCGAACCAGCAAACCGGCTGATTCAGAAGAACCAAGTTCTTGACGCTGAGCCTGTTCATGCAGAGGGCAGCCGACCCTTCGATAACGAGGATCTCTGCATGGGGGTGGCGTAGGATGGGGGGTGGCGTAGGATGGGTTCACCTTGAAGGCGACATTCATCTCTCCAGGAGTCTTTGACTTCAGTCTGTCCCGTGGCACTAACGTTTATTTTCTAATCCTGTTGTTCATTTAGGTGTGGATTTAACTGTCTATCCCAATGAATTCAGTCCACTTTTAAGGATTGAACATTCCGGCAGGCATATCAGGCCAGCGCCTCAAAGCAATCTGTTAGCGTGTTTGTTTGGCCTGAATCAGGTTGTTCATAGCTACGTGGACGTAACTTCCTTGCTCACGGTGACCAGGCACCACGCTTTTCTCAGAGCAGGTTCTCCGAAGCTAGGTCTGATGAGCGCTTTTAAAGAACTGACTGCAAGGGGGAGGTTGCTCAGTGGAGAGCTGGGATACGAGTGCCTGTCACCAGGGTTTCTGAAGCTAATGATTCCCAGCCAGCCACCAGAATCAGGGAAGGGCTATAAGAAATTCAGTTGTAACTCATTTGGGGATGAATTCATCATTTTGGATGAACTCATCCATTTAAATGCTAAAGACAAAAATTTTAAAGAGTTTTCTGCTTACCAAAAGTTAGAAAATGCACCATTTACATAACTCCATCCTCCCACAGCATCTTGTCCCGCACCGTTCAGCAACATGTTCCTGTTGCATTTTCACATATTTTGCGAAAATTGTAAGTGTGATAAAATTGTGTTCACTGCCATGTTGTTCTTCTCTCAGACGGGCGAAGGAGATTGTGCTGAAGTTTGAGGGGAGGCTGACCAGGACCCGAGGCTACCAGGCAGCAGGTGCAGAGGTAAGGAGCACACGTGGGTCCTGCCACCTGCCCGGAGGGAAGAAAATAACTTGAGGGGCACATAGTGAGGTAGACGTGGAACTAGAGCTAGAACTCTGCTTTCTGGCCTTCCGCGCAGGTGTCCTAGACTTCGGGACTTTACAATGAGCCGGAGACTCAAATGTTTTCTACCACCAAACCCTTGCCAGAGGAGGTTGGAGCACCCCTTCCTCCGGATGCCACTGGGGATGAATGATCAGAAAGCCTTGGTTTTTCTCTCTACGCTCTAGGACAGGGGTGGGGAACCTTTTCATGTCGGAAGCCGCATTAATTTAGCTGTAATCAAATAAGGACACATTCAAGAAACTTCAATTAGATATACTTAAAAATGTACATTATTTTGTAAAAATCTAACTACTACGTAGTTAATAATTTCAAAAATTAAAAATATTTGTTAATGTGAAACTAACCTTTTAATGAAGTTGTTGTGTCTGCTTTTTGTTGGAAAGCATTTGAATATTTGGTGTGCAGTTTCAGTTGATCCTCTAGATGGGTACCGGTCATTTGTGGTTTGGCAGGAGAATATAGATTCGCAGCAATAGTGGTTAAAAAGCAAGAAAGCATTTTTCTGGCATGTTGCTGAAGGTGTGGGTATTCTACTGCATTTTTCTTTATTTCGATTGGCTCTTTCTTAGCATCAATAATGACTTTAAAATGTCATCTACTGAAAGCTCAATCAATTCCATCTGTAGTTCTTTAGGTGCCTTGGCGATATCAACTAGGTGAGGCTGACGTGCTAATTTGAGTGTGATGTCATGATGCTCAAAGTCCGTGACCCTTTCATTGTATTCTCCAATTAATAATAGGTTTATAACAGCTGTGCATTCTTCAAATGATTTGCATATATCATCCTGCTCATCAGTGACCTTTGCTAACTGGGGAAAATGTCCATCTGATATTTCCTTTTGAAGAAGAAATGTTTTGAAAAAATATAGCTTTTTTCAAAATGCTTGGATTTTTGGCCACATACCATTTATAGACTTAGTTATAACATGCAAAGAAATATTCAAGTCATTTTGATTTGACATGATATCACACAGAAATGTTGCATTCCTATAGAAATCTTCTTTTAATAATTCACATTGCTGATTCTGTTCTTCGTAAAATTTAACTATCTGTTCTCATAGAGATAAAATTTTGGCTAATACCTGTCCCTGTGATAGCCGACACGCTTTAGAATGAAACAGCAGATCCACACCGAATACCCCATCTTTCAACGTTAGCATGTCATGAAACTGACAATGCCATGTTGCATTTGCATGAATACAGTTAACTATACTTAGAACCTTTTGCAAAGTGTCACTTAAAATAGTAGCTTTAGTACAGAGATTTTGCTGATGCAAGATACAATGAAAGGAAATGAGAGCATCTGAATCTGTTGATACTTTTTTTATCTGTGCAATAAACCCTTCATGTTTTCTTGTCATGGAAGGTGCACCATCTGGACATACACTCACTAAATTTACCAATTTGGTCCAACTTCATGACATTTATCTTGAAACTTGTTGAAGATATCTACTCCCAGTGTTCTGTTCACAAGACTGTCCAAAGCAAGTAACTCTTTGTAGCAAAGAAAATCTTCTGTTATGACCCGAATGAAGTATAAAACATGTGCCAAGTCAGTAGTATCAGTTGATTTATCCAGATCAATTGAATAATATATATTTTCCTTTTAAAGTATTGCATGAAGTTGTTCTGTTAAGTTGAAGGTTAATTCATGCTTCTGATCAGTTATGGTTCTCCTTGAAAGAGGCAGTTGTTTGTACTTTGAAACATTATTGAGGTCTAAGCATCCTACAACTTTGACAATGCATTCCTTCACAATTTCTGCATCACTGAATGACATCCCTTTTCCCCAGAGTATATAAGCTACTTTATAAGTTGCTTCAGTGGCATTATTTCCAGGTCTTATTGCTGCTTGAAAGAATTGTCTTTGCTTTTGCTTTTCGTCTTTTAATTTCTGCAATACAACCTTTCACTCCTCTTCCTCTAACTTAGAAATTCGTGGTCCTGCTGAGTGTTATAATGCTGATGAGCACTGAATTTCTTTAACGTTGATATTGCAGTATCACAAAGTAAGCAAATCTTCTTATCTTTAGCAGAAACAAGACAATATTGCAATTCCCCATCCTCATTAAAAAAATCTGTCTTCTTCCTTCAGCATTCTCTCGGTCTTCTTTGACATGATGGGCGGTTAAGCAGACAGAATTAAAAAATACTGTCGAGCTGTGCAACTATTCACAAATTCCACTCCAAACAGAAACACAGTGCACTGTTGTCAAAAGCTGATAACAGACTGGCGTAGTCGAACCCCATGACCTCTCACCAACCAGCCTCGTGCTATAGTGGCCCCAGTCATGGGGGAAGTTAGAACTAAATCATGAGCATAGCAGCCGTCAATTTAGCCCTTATGGCTACTAATGTTCTAACTGTGCCGGTCAATCTGGGAGGGTTATTTCGTTGAAACTTATTTTATTCTTTGGCATTTTAAATACATTCATTTTAAAAATAAAATAAAAATGTAAAAGATGAACAAAAACATATTAATAAAAATAAAATGATTTGTTCTGTAAGATTTGGATTCAGTCAAAAGGCCGCACGTGAGGATGTAGAAGGCCGCAGGTTCCCCGCCCCGCTCTAGGAGATGAGCCAGGTGAACACCGTCAAGGTAGTGCAAGGTGGGATATGATGAGCATTGTAAGAGAGACCAACGATTATTGCTAAGGGAGTTTACAGGAAGGAGAATTTATTTCTCACTACAGAGAATCTGTGTTCCTGGGAGTGGCGATATTTGAGCTGGCTCTCAAATCATGAGCAGAAGATGAACAATTCCAATTTCTGATAAAATTCATATTTTCATTTGTGAGCAGCCGTTCTGGCCTGAGCAGATACGTCCAAAATGACATTATCATACATGTCTGTATCAGGACTGTGTGCTGCCTTATAGTTCAGAACGTTATAATTACATTTGTAATCCTTCTTTCTGCAATGATATCATTTACTTCCAACACAAGCCCAGATTGTTTGTGTGTTAAAATGCACGACCTGCCAACTTTGTTGGAGAGCAGAGCCAGTGCCAGGGCACATTTTGCTTCATTCTCCTTGGAGAAAAAACATTTTTTTGAACTTTTAGCAATTGCATCTTAAACCTGCAATACAAATTTCCAGACCTTCAGAGGCTAGGAAACTATCTCTGCATCAGCATGCAAGACACACAATGCGGGATGCGAGTGGGGCTCATTTTCAGGGTGGGCTCTAGACTCTTGGTCCTTAAGCAAAGCTGTGATTTTAATCACCTGGGGAGTTTGTTAGTTACGTGGATTTTCAGGCCCCACCCTCGGAGCTACCTTAAACATATGGTGCAGTCAAATATTTGGAAATCATTCCTCGAGTACTTTCCATTGTTCTCAGTCCCTGCCTCACGAAGGGGATGAGTGAGTTAAGCTGAGGCCCGAGAATATGAGCCTCGACACAGACACCGCGGCTCAGAGCCCGAGGAGGTGTCTGCTCACTGGGTCAGGAGCACACAGAAGACAGGGGGCTACTTTGGTCCTACCTAGAGTGGCTTACAGGCCTATGAAGCCACAGATAAAGGTAGCAGAGCATGTGTTCAGGGTCCCCTCTCTGTGCAGGACCCTGGTACCACACAGCCATTGCCCTCTCCATGAAGGGGAAGGTCTCTAATCCTGCCCTCTCCTTCCTAGCTCTGGCGGAAATTTGCTCGTCTTGCCTGTAACTTCGTGGTCATCTTCATTCCCTGGGAAATGCGGATAAAGAAAATCGAGAGTAAGTATCTGCACTTGGAGAGGGGGCGGGCTGCAGGGCCGTGGCCAGTCCACAGCTGGGGAGAGCCTGGCGCGTCCCGGTCCTTCTCTGTGCGGCCCAGGGCACTCCCGCAGCTGGGGCGCCGGGCTCCAGTGGGACGACAGGGGAAGACACAGCGCCCGTCCCCACCGCCTCCCAGGACGGAACAGTCCCAGGCGTGCCTTTCCACATTGCGCCGTTCTCCCGGCTCACTCCTTTATCAGACACGGCCCTGTCCCCAGAGGGATCACGTGGAACCCGCGAAGACGGGTGAGAGGGCAGCACCGGACTGCAAAGCGCAAATACAGAAATCCCCGTTTCCATAGATGTTACCGTGACCATTTGGTAAATATGTGCTAACGAACAAATCGCAGCCACACTCACACTTACAAACACACACACGCACGATGTCAGGAAAAAACAGTAAGTCTGAAATAAAAAAAATTGTAAAATTAGACCACAGGGTGTACAAGTCTTTGAAGAGACGTGGGAAAATGTAATATTTGAAAGATGTTGATTTTCCCAAAATTGATTTACAAGTTTAATGCAATTCCAATAAAAATCCAAACGTATTGTTTTTAGTATTCGACAAAATGATCATAAAACTCACGTGGAAGAAAAATATCCAAGAGACTAATCAAAAAAAAATTGTAAAGGAAAAATGCAAATGAGGTTGTATAACCAAGACATCAAAATACATTGTAAAAGCTACAACCATTGAAACAGTATGGAACGGTGCAGGAATTGACTGACAAATCGAAAAAGATAAGCAAAAAGTTCAGGAACAGAGACGAATACACACAGGCCTCTACCATATGATATAACTATTAGTCAGTCTAAATTATTCCATAAATATTGCTGAAACGATGATTTGACTGTTTTAAAGAGCAAGTTTAATTCCTTCACTTTAAAATTCCATTAAATACTTAAATATATTAATACG